GTATTAACAGATTTCTTTGCAAGCTAGAATCAGGTGCTTCGGAGCTTTTCGCTTTATGGCGCAAAACAATGTAAACTACCACTTGTAGCCAGAATTTGTCTCTGGATCCCTTGTCTTAGCCCATTAGAAACTTTGCCTCTAGACTGCTGCCGATATCTTTCCCTGATAATGTATTAATTTTCCTCGTGAAATTGAGAAGTGCTTCTATTTTGAATATCAAGGCTGTTATTGTTATGGATGTTAATGCTGATTTCAAGACGAAATTATTAAAAGCTTCGACATTTTATAATGACTTGGGCGGTTTCAGTTTGTCTACGTTCACAAATGAACCCACTCGCTAAGCTACTTTATCTAAGTTAGAACTTGCAAATCTTTCCTTGCATTTATTCAGTGCGTTTGAGTTAGACTGCCTACATTGGCAAAGACTTCGGAGCAATTGTTGCTATGCTGATATCTTATCATGCTGAGCAAAAATACAAAAATCCCATAATGCAGCGAGTGGCGATAACTGTCAATCAGTCGATATCATATTGCACTTATACCATACATACTGACACTTCTTAAATGTAAATGTGCAAATTACATACATGCATACATACACATACAATTATCGCTCGTCGTTCTTGTACACAATTCACCTCGGGTGGCGTTCTTTCAAGTGGTGCAACCTCAATGCCGCGGGTAATGTTTATGGCAGTTCAAAAGCGGTTTCGTCTCGTTCAGGCGATCGTTTTAGGTAAATAGCAAACGATAATAGTTAATTTCGTTTTCGATCGTACGGATATCGCGTTTATTTGTTTTATGTTTTTTTTTATGAAAATACTTATTTTTATTTATTTAAATATGATTTTATTTATTACATGAATTGTGTATCAACAATAAGAATTACGTGCCTAATTGAGGGCAGCTTTTTGGATGTTATCGACTTTATAAGAGTGCCATTAAAACTGTGTATTAATAATTGGCTTATCAGGGTTCATAAGATCTCATTTTTATTATAGCGTAAACAATAACACAATTTTTTTCAAGTGCAGCAATATATTAATTTCCGTACGCAATGGACAATAAATCATTGTGATGAGTGGTTAATTTGTTATTTTATTTATTAACAAATTACAACTTGAAATTTTATCCTGAAATGCGTGCATATTTTAAAAAGTTTTTAGCTCTCACATTTTGCTCTCATTCTGTTTGAGTTCCATTCTTGAACCAGCGCTAGTGTTGCCAGCTTTAATTATTCATAATTTGTTATAATTTTTATTTTACTATTTTTTTTTTTTTTAGTATTCTATTAGCTTTTCGTAGATATTTAATATTACATACAATAAGTTATCGTAGATCACTTTGCCGATCAGCCATTTGTTCTGAACACCGACCATTAAATACTATATCCGTAACGAGTAAAGAAAAAATCTCGATATCTCGTTGCCTTGATGTTGTATTGCAGTTTGCACACTGTTACCTATTACATAACAATTTAGTACTTTTATTTTAGTTTGCAGTAGCCATTTAATAATGTTATCGTAATAATTATTTTTTTACTATCTTATAGATTTTACAAATTCTAAATTAACTCCAAACAACTCGTATATAAAATAATTAGGGATTTTTTGACAATAATATGGCTATGAATATCAACTTCTTCTGGCAACACTTGAATACTCCACTCAGCTATATCTGAACCGGTTTCATAACTGAAGTTAGTTGCTCTCTAATGAAGCTCAGCACAAACAATAACGACTAGCTCTTACGAAGCTAGAAAAAGAAACAAGTTGACTGCATGCTTTTATACAAATATGCAGACAATCTACCATATATGCATTTATATGTATATATATATATATACCTAATGTGTATATGTATACCTAAGAATGTGCAAAATGAAACAAAGCTGTTTCTTTTAAGCTCTTTCCGCACTCTTCCAAGCACATTTTGCGCTCTCAGCATCTGGTTCTTGTTGCATTCAATTCAGTGATTTTTCGACAATTACAAGTAAAGCATATAGAGGGCTTTTCATTATATTTAAATTGTATTAGTTTAGCAAATATATTCTAAATCGTATAAAAAATTCAGTGCATTGCTTATCTCGTTTTCGATATTTTTTGTGTTCAAGTGACGAAAGTGATAGCTTTAATGTGTTGAATGATATTAAAAACACTTAATTATTGACCGGCTGCCAGTAGTTTCGTTTTTTATGACTTCAACTTTTTTCGCCACTCTCAGCTGCAACAATACTAGGCGACTGCTAATATTGTGCATGCATATTTACCTGTGTTTGTATGTAATTTTGCATACAATCGACCTTCTGTGTTATTGTTCGCGTTACTCGTTTTTTTTTTTGTCTGCACGCCAACCAGTCTACGTATCATATCGCATGCGCCCGATACTATTTTGACTTCATTGCCCGGGTAGTGATAAACATTTTTAGTAAGTGTAGCTATTTACTTGTGTGCCCGACGAAATTGCAGAATAAATTTGCTCACGATGGCTGATGTGCGAAGACGTCAACGTGCTAAATGTAAGCAAATCATTTTATCTAATGTTAATATTTAATTACATTTATACAAAGTCGCAACTTAGACCTTGATTTTGCATATACCATAAGTGTTTAGATATTCATACATATTTGTGTAAATAAATATTCCCTACAAAAATACAATATATCGTTTTAAAAATGATCGTCAAGAATCCTATTGGTTAAACATAATATGAATAATTTAATGGAAAAATAATATATCTTTATTCTAAAATCAAATACAGTAATTATTTCAAATAAGAAATAAACTTGGTAAACATAATTTTCAATGATAAGATCGTTGCAGTCCTTGTAATTTTCGTTCTTAAAAATATGTATATTTTGGATAAACTACTCCACCAATATATAAGAAGATCTGCTAATCTTTAAGTTTGTTATATCACATTTATTTGGGCAATGGACTTCAAAAGCCAGTTAAAAATTTTTTTTCAACGGTTGGCATATTAAGTAGCTTTGTGATGACTGTAGCGCCCTTAAAATACCACCTGAGAGTATGAGTATTTGGATACAATTATCTTATATATTGAAAACATTTTTTCGCTGATTATTTGGTACACTCCTCTAACGTGCAGCAACATGACATTTTCCAGAGACAATGTAAAGTTCTCAGGTGTGTTAGGTGCTTACTTTGAAATCTCACAGTGTTTGCTTTACTTCATTGCCTTTCGATCTCTAGACACTTGGTACTTAACCTCAGCGCAAATTAATTAAAATTTTAAAACGAAATTTTTTTTTAATTTTCATTATGACTTTTTAAAAAATTTTATGGATCTATATATTAAAAATAACGTGTTACGTTTTATCCGTCATAAACTTCTTAACTGCTGAAACGATTTTAATAAAATTTAGCACATTGTGTCCAGTTTGATTCAACTTAAAAGTTGAGATTGTTTATATCTCAATTATGTTAAAAGTCAAGACAATTTATTTATTTTATTATTTCTAACCATAAGCATGTGTTCAAAATTAAAAAACAAAAATAAATAAAAATAATAGTAGAAAAATATAAATAATTGTAATTTTGAGTAATATACCAAATGGAAAGTTCATTATTTTTTCCATTGACAAATATTTGTATTAATTATTTTCAAACTTAAACTTCAAGTACAATCCCTTAGATTCTTATACCGGCAACAATGTTTTCGTCCGTTTTCGTAAATAATATTTTCACTGTATTAAATAGTTTATTATAATAACATTCAAAGTATAACATAGCCACAGCAACGCGTGTCCGGATCCACTGGTGGAAGAATTATGCAAAGTATATTAGACATTTAATTTATTTTTTAATTATTTTTTCGAAGCCATTATTTATGGTAGTTTAAATTCAAAATAAATTAAAAATAAAATACTTTGCCTATAAAATATATTGTAATAACTATTGCAATAAATTTACATTTTTACAACCTTATCAACATCAATTTGTTAACAAAATATATTCGGCAAATATAACAAAAAATATGTTCTAAATTTATGAAAAACAAAGCAAATTAGTGTTATTTTTTAAGTGTTCATAAAATATACTCGTACAAACATAAAACTAAGAGTTTTACTCACGTGCGTAATTAGGAAAAACTTTTTTTTGATTTAATTGGACTGAAATTGAAAGCTGAAAACTCCTGCTGTGTTCAGCTGATGTAATATATTTACGAAATTATGAAGAATACGTACATATGTACATATAGTAAGACTGCACGTAGCAGATGATATCTATGTTTATGTAAATTTCATTGAGTCTATAAAAATTCTTTTGGTTCAATGAGATTTTAATGGAGTGTTCTGTATTTGTTACATAATCACTAGAATATTCATAGTATACCTAACATGAGTCTCTGTTGAAGTTCGATACATCATTGAGTTCACTACTTTCATTTTCTTTAGATCTCATGTTTTAACGCCACAGGTTTCGAAATTTGAGAGTTGCCATTTTGTCTGGAAGGCTTACATGCTATTAATCAAGGTCTTATAGAAGACTTATGGCAACACTTAAGTATAGTACTTTCTGGAGTTATCTAAATATGAAGGCTATTATATTACAGAACTTTTTATTAAGAAGTATAATCAGAGTCTGTTAGGAATGAAGCGTTTGAAGTAATATCTTTAGACCAGATTGGATAGTTATTGAAAACACAAAAATCATAGTGGGATGAAACCCATTGGAAACGAAGGATAAAATAACAAACATTAAAGAAAAAATTTGGTTGAATTTTTTGGGGTCAAAAACGGTTTATCTCGATTTCCGGGAAAACTAAGAGTCCAATAGAAAAGATTTAAATGGCAATGTGGTAAGTAATGAAAAGATCTAAAACTTTTGTATATATATTCAGAGTTTGGGATTTTTATTTTTATCTTGTTCAAACATTTTTTCTCTTCCACGAAATTTGCAGTATACTTACCTACTTATGTACCAAACAAAGTGTATTTTTTTAAATTTAAAATATTAAAATGAAAACCTTATTTCGACTTAAAATCGAAAAATTTCCAAATTTTCAATCAAAAAATGTCAAGTCAAAATTACAGAAATAATAGGTATAAGAAATAAAAAAAGCAGCTTTGAATCGTTTCCAGGAGGAGATAATGGGTGTTGTTTAATTTTCTAGTCTCAATTGACTAAGGATATTTAAAATGAAAAATCAGTTTGTTGACAATGTAAAAATAAACTTACCCTGGAAAGCACTAGTAGATTTATACAAGTTAGGCAGTGAAAAGTGACCGTTAAGTGAAGTGTAACTAAATATAAAAGCATATTAAAATAAGTTGAGTTAAAAATTATTAACAAAAATTATTACCAATATATAAAAGTACAACTTAGTTTTAATGACTATAGCTTTTATTACAAAAAATTAATAAGTGTACTCCCACATAGCGCCTGCAATGAACTTAAACTTACAAACTTGTAATATATCTGACACGTAAATTCATTATCATATAGATGAAGTAATAAGCAGTAACAATTAGAGGGTAATCACATTATCGGAAAAGCACATAAGTTATGCAACAAAAGAATTATTCAATCTCAAGCAGTTGGAATCAAAAGCGAATACCTTTAATTAGTGGCCAAGAAGCTATACAACTCTATTATATTTTTAGTTCACGATTTTTGTATGCCTCCGACGTATATACATATAAATAGTATTACATGTATTTTTAGATGTTATGAATTTTAGTTAAATATTTCTCAAGAATTCATGATTTGTTAGGTCATATAATTGCTAATTTATTCTAATTGCAGAACAATACATTGAAAACACGTAATCGTTTGTACTTTAATATAGCTACTCACGATCAATGAAGATAAATATCTGTGGTATATAGGTGATCACGCAACGAGTTCGAAAAACTTTGCTAATTTGAAGGAGATTATAATAAAAAAATTGAAACTCATTTGCTTATATTATATTGTATATATTATATTATCATATCGGGTTTGTGATAGAGCTGGGTGTTCACAGAAAAAGTGTAAAACTGTTCTTATATTCCCTTCTAGTCCCTTCCCTTTTTTTCAGTTGCGGAAAAAAAATTCTTTCCTGGACCTATTTAATAAATCCTTAGTTCTTGTCTTGTCATACTTAAGCCATATATGCTTTGTTTTCCTGCATTATGTTATAGATTTCCATCTGTTCTGATCTATTTGTTCAAATTCTGTATAGAGTTCCCTCTTAATCGTTCCTAGAGGGCATATTATTAACTCTGTCTCGGATTCGTCTAGAGAGGCTACTAACTTGGCCAACTCGTTTGATTTTTCGTTGCAAAAAATGTTCTTGTGGCCGGGACCCAGATTATGACCAAGTGGAGTTGACCTGACAGTGATCGTAAAGCTTTACTATATTTGTTGTCTACGCTGAAATTAAACTATAGCGACGACAAGCCTAGGATTCCGCCAGGGTATCTTTATATATGGTTGCTTTCTGTATCCTCCCGTAGTTATTCAATGGAACTCCAAAGGCCTTCTTCATGCCTAGTACTTGCACTTGGAAGATGTTAACAAAATTTGGTAGGCGGACAGAGAAAAAGAAAGAGAAGATCCTTGGAGTATACCCCCATCTCTACTTCGTATTCCATTTTCGATCTGTCAGCTTAGATTGAGGTAGTATCCTGCTCTCCTACTTGACTTCTTCTAACCATTTAATTACAATTCCAACCTTAGAAGGATATGAAGCGAAGGTTAGGTCTAACTAAAAAAAAATTTCAATTCAAATGGCGCCTTGCTCTATGAGGGGTAATTTTCGGAATTGTATCAGAGTCTTTTCGATTTTAGTTTCTTTTTCAAATGCAGGAAAATATCTGTGGTGATTGGGAGAATATAGAAATTCATTTTAAAGAATAAACTAAGATTAGACACATATTTAAAGTTTCTCAAAGTCACATAGATCTAAGCTATATTAAACCCCGCGAAATTAAAAATACTTTTACATTTCTGCAAACAAGTTCTATGCTAACATCACTATATATGCAATATCTCTTAACTCACGATCTTAATCACTTCTAGCGTCACACGTGCTTACATCATAGGTATATACATGAGTCTCATCACTTGTATTCCAGTGTATGGTTATTTCGCTTTGTTTGTGCAAACATCAGCAATTATAATAGAATTTTTTATTTTTACAATAATTAATTGCACTTCATCAAGCTAATTATCCAAACAATTATTATCACACAAAATTGAAGAAAAAAATCTAAAATTATAAAATACGTATTACATAGTGTCTGATAGGAAATCTTAATGTGCAAATATTTTAATATCATCTGTAATTTCTCACAATTTCTAATACCATAAAGGCAATCAAACTATCCAGTCTCATATCATTAGATCTGAAGTGAAGTTTTTGAAACGGATCAATCCAAAATGTCAAAAGAAGAGTGCACTTAAGGGACATACCTAATGACCGCCTAAAGAATTCGATTTTAGGGAATTAACGAAAAAATTACTGTATCAATTGTATTTAATTTTAAGCAATCGCCTTTAAGGATAAACTGATTGAACTGAGCGGCTACATAATATAAGGCTGTAACTCAAAAACTATTTGATATTTAAACTTATAATTTTAGTATGTTATTTATAATGGAATAACATATTGAAAGATAACAACAAAATCGGTTTTTGTTTTTTAATTTTCCACTAGGTGTACTAGGTTCAGAACTGAGGACTTATTTGATTTATTTATTAATTAAAGAAGGTTCTGCGGTTGTTAGACCCTGTACGAAATACAAAATTTAATCCCAGACTAATTTAAAAAGATCAACAATCAGGTACTATAAGATGTATACAACTACTTATGTACATACATATATTCATGTATCTATAAATGTTTGTACGCTTTAAAGGTATATGTATGTATGTGCATGCGATTTTTTTTATTTTTGCATATTTACACTTTTATAGCACTCAGCTGGTTTTGCCAATTGGCAAATAGACCGACTAACACATTGTGTCTGTCTTTGCAAAACAAACAAAAAACGCAAAAAAATCTACAAAAGTCGTTTAAGTTCACTGTCACGGCTGAGTTTGGTGGTCGCAGTCGCCAATCATCATTTGCCTCTTAATAGTAATTAATTTCTTGTTTTGTTGTTGTTGCTATTTTATACCGCAAATATTGCGTAAAGCTGCCTTTAACATAGATAAATGCGGTATATATGTAAATATGTACATGATGTATGTACGTATGATACTTCGATGTGGGCATAATCGTGCACTGCCATCTACATACATACATATGTACATATTCTGTTCTGTAGATACATACATATGTATATTTCTAACATGATGCGGCAGTTTCTAAGGCAAGTTTGTCTAAAATTAGTTGAAATGTACCATAAATTCTTATCCGTTTTATTATAGCTTCCATTGCACGACGATTGTCAGTTATGTCATAAATTCGTATTTTTCTGCTTATACATACGGTATTCGCTGGTATGCATATACATATGTACGTATATATATAATAATATATGTATACTTGTTTGCGTTGTTTATGGAGCATATGGTAAGAATTGAGATAGTATCTTAGAGTCTAATCAGCGGTTGTCACATAGAAAGATGTTGATTATTTAGTTTTTAAATATTCAAATTAATATTTTTTCTTTTAAAAAATAAAAACTGGTACAATATCTTAAATATACTTATGCTGAGGCGAATAATTTATATTCTTAAACAATACCATTAAATATCGAATCTCGAAGAGTCAAATAAATTGATATAAGGATATATTATTTTACTAGAAATTATAACAATTACCTTAACTCAAGTCGCCTATAAACATACATCCTTATACGTATGTTCGTATAGGATTTGTTGCATATATATTCCATGTAGCCCTAATTATATTGTTTTTGAAAAAAAGTTTTCCTAATTACGCCATTTTCTCAATTTCGAGGAACGAAACTTATAATCAGTCATACTATCCGAACAATAAATATGCATGGACAATGTTGTCTTTCACAGACTTGATATCGAAATGTTTTTAGACGAACTGACGCATAGGTAAATTTCTGAGTCACGATAAATAATAATATTAGTTAAAACCATTTTTGAAAGAGCAAGCTACTTTTTAAGGTATTCTATAAGCCGTTTTCAGTTCATAGTTAAATGTTTACCGTGTTTATGTATTTATTTCCAGAAAAAAATTAATTTCAGAATGATTAATTAGAATTACTTTAAAGTGTCAGATAGCGCTAGATGACTCATTTTGTAGAAAAATGCACTAGCTTAAAACTGGGTTTGTTTTAGTGCAAAAAACATAATTACTAGTTCAACTTTATGCTTGTCACCACAAGAATAACTGACCGAGGAAGTGATCACACTCTATCCACTACTTTACTACTGCTCCATCCGATCAAATTTGATCAGCACCTCCCTTTATTATCGCCTTCAAAACAGGCTCATGAGCCATTTATAAGTCTGTGAACGTTTAATTAAATTTTCTATGCACTTGTTATAAGCCTCGGCTGAGATGGCCTTCTGTGCCATCAGCGGCTTTTGGTTTTTTTCGGTTTAACTCACTTTTGGAGCGGAATTCGCTAGTTTTTTGAACAGTTTCGACGTCAAATTCGTAAACGCACGTCTCGTCTCCAGTAATGATGCGTTTGATGAATGTAGAGTCCTTAGTTACGTTGCCAAGCATGTTTTTTGCGAACTCTACTCGATGTCATTTTTGAAAAGGATTCAGATTGGTAAAGATTCACGAGTCTGGCATTGACCTACTTCACGATCCCCAAGAAACGTTGAGATCCTTTGTCAACATTGATGTAATCCTCATTGACAGAGGTTGATGCGCGGCTCGCATGAGGCTCCAAAACTCTTCTACAACATTTTCACTGATTCCGTAGCCGTGATTCTATTGGAAATACAAAATTTCAAGTAAACTCGTAGTTACATTTTTCCAGGGTAAAAATTGCCTTAAAAAAAGGTTGTTGTTGGAAAAAAAATGTTGTCGATTCGGTTTAAGCGCGCAGTTTCAATGTACCAGTCAGGTGGTACTGAAATTATCTAGTTCTTAATTCTATCCACTTCTCTGAGCGATTAGCGTTTCCCTACAGGGTACATACTCGAAGATGTTTATAGGCAGATGTATAAGTACGCGGTCATTTACGAGCGTCACGTGCTGTAGACTAACACCCACGCCGCACTTCATACATGCGTACACATTTACACTCATTTTCACAAACATAAACATATGTATATTTTTAAGCTGGGCATTGGCCAACAATAAAGCACTATGTATGTCTTTGCGGAAACAGATCAGTGAACCGGTACGTTGATGACACAGAATTAGGTTAAGCTGCATACATACATATGTATATGAGCACATGTGAATGTAACAAACGGTCAGCGTACTCACTTAAAGCCAGTATCCAAAAAGAACACGCGAAAGGTGTTTGCAGAAGCTGGTGAGCTCCAAGCTCTGCGAGAGTTAATAACAGCGTTTTGTTTACGTACATACATATACATAAGTATGTGCGCTCATACATATTTTTATTTTTATTAATTTATACATACATACATATGTATGTGTATACTTATTGTTTCAAATAACTGAAACATTGAAACAACATTACAAAAACAGTTGTGAAAATAAACAACAACAAAAAGAAAAAACAAACAAGCAAAAAATTATTTGAAAAAATATTATTGTCAAAATTCAAAACCTGAATACAGCGTATATTTGGCTTAAAGATTGAATAATAAAATGTGTTGAAAAAAATAAGAAACCATATAAAAATAATAACAAATACTCGCAGCAGCTCTTTCGTTAAGTAAATTTAACAAGCGCGACTTGAGACACTTGTTTAACTTGCGCCCATCGCACGCTACTCCACATTAAATTGAATATTGTTAGTCGAGCGCGGAATGTGTGATGCGACGGTGTAGAATTTTTTACTGT